TACAATGGATCAAAAGCAATTCTGACAGACAAGAAGACCTAGGTTCAAGTCCTACCTCTCACAACTGGCTCTGTGACCGTAGGCAGAGAGATTGTACCTCAATGACCTAGGCAGCTCTCTAAGCCTAAAAGTTGCAGAGCAGGTAATGTTCTTACCAGTAAAATTACAGCACTGGTTAATTTTTTTAAGACTATATGATGATTTCCCCCCTCCCCCCAAAAAATTGTTGTTAGCTCTTGGAGAAAACTCAGTAAGTATTTTAAGAAAAAAATCAGGATGGATGCATTAAAGAGATTATTTTAATCCCTTTGGTTCTTGGGTTTGCCCTCTCCTCCCAAATCAATTAACCGCTTTACTCCATCAAAGCAGATTCACAAGAGTGTTTATCCTATGTATCAGGGACATCAAATATATTCAGATAATATCTTTGAAAGAAGAAGAGAGCACTTGATCTCTGGATACCTGTGTTAGGAGTATAACTAATTCAGATTAGGAGACATTACAGTTGTTGCGGGTTAGCCAGAGTGTTTGGCAACGACTGAAGACATTAGGTCATGATTGTCACAGGACTTAGGATTCAGAAATTGTTTTAAAAATCCTTAGAACAGATGTGCACCTACTATGACAAAAGAAAAACTTTTGTTCTTTATTTTTTTAATTAATTAATTAATTTTTAGTTTTCAACATTCACTTCCATAAGGTTTTGAGTTCTAAATTTTCTCCCCCTCTCTCTAGATGGTGCGCAATCTGATATAGGCTATACGTATACATTCATATTAAACCTATTTTTACATTAGTCATGTTGTGAAGAAGAATTAGAACCAATGTGAGAAACTAAGAGAAAGAAGAAACAGAGAGAGAGAGAGAGAGAGAGAGAGAGAGAGAGAGAGAGAGAGAGAGAACAAATAATATGCTTCCATCTGCATTCAGACTCCATAGTTCTTTTTCTGGATGTGGATAGCATTTTCCATCATAAGCCTTTTGGAGTTGTCTTAGATCCTTGCATTACTGAGAAGAGCTAAAGACTTTTTTTTTCTTCACAATTTTAAATTGTTTTTCTGAGTATAAATTCTCAGCCATCCAATGGTTCTGGCATGGCAAGATACTCTGGATTTCTGGTTGATCCCTTTGTCAGCAAGGGAATATTCAGTCAAATGAATTCCCATTGGTTGCATATGAGGCTTTGTGATATTTGTAGAAAGCATTAATAGTCAGTCTTTGTGGTGTTTGTGGAAAGGAGTAGCAAGTTGACAGTATGCTTAATGAAAAGAAAGAAATACAGAGTGTATGAAAGTCCTGAACTGAGAAAAATCCAAAATATGGATTTAAAGTATGATTCTTGTTTAACTATTGCATTAATAAGCAATCATTCATGTTTGAGGCATTATATTTTAAGGCACTCCAGTAAATGTAGTTAAATTAAGTCTCAATCTGTTGCTTGATGGTTTCAGAGGAAACTAAATTGTCATTTTTAGTTTCCTTTCTACTAATTACGAAGCATTATCAAGAAAGTCAATTGATGTATATATGAACATTTTGCAGGCTTTGAAATGGTTTTATAGATATAGATAGACAGGTAGATACATACATACATACATACATACATACATACATACATATGGAGAGATAGATATGCACACATATGAAGCAAACAATTATCTCTATTTCTCCTCTGTAGCAACACTACAGTGCCTTTATTAACTGAGTAAACTACATGACATTGTCTCTTTCGGTAAATAGTTAAATGGTATAGAGTACAGTAAAGTTTACAAAGCACTTTATACATATTATCTCATTTTATCCTTACAACAACCCTGAGAGGTAGATGCTGTTATCGTCCCCAGATGAGAAAACTGAAGTAAATAAAGGGTAAGTGACTTACCTACCATCATATAGTGATGCAGGATTTGAACTCAGTGTTTTCCTAGCTGTAAGTCCCATGATCTATCCACTGTGCTACCTAGCTACCTGATTTTGAGGTTTGGGAGTATTTTCCCAAAAGTCTTCCAGACCAGTAATGTTAAGGCCATAGGACTTTTCTACAATGCATTCACATAAGAGAAGTCTTAAGACCTGATTTGAAACTTAGTTTCCTTATCTGTAAAATGAGAGGGTTTGACTTGATGGTCTCTTGAAGTCCCTACCAGCTGTGGATCTGTGATCCTATAATACTTTCATGCCCAGGAGTGGCAGCATGGTCAAACAAAGAAGAATCAAGGAGGTTGTTAGAATGTTAAGTTCAAGGGTTGTCAGGCCACTGGAGAAGGAGGGAAAAAAAGGGGATGGTTCTGTAAGAGACTACCCTTAGTTCCACCAGGTTCCATGACACTCATTATTTTTAATGAAGGGTCCTTCATCCTCTCCACACTGATTCAGATGAGGACTGTGGGTCTTAGAGAGAGGTGACAGTTTCTTTCCCAAGCACATTTCTGGTGACATAGACAAGAAGACTACAGAGATTAACCTTGGAAAGCCTTCACTGGTCAAACTTGGGACGTGGAAGTTACCATAAATTTTCAGAAACGAGTAAGCAGAGGAGACATTCAGCTCTAATAGCATCTAGTCACACACCCCTCTTCCAAAAAAAAGGTTTTTTTGACTATCACAGATTTTTTTAAATAGAATCTTGAAAGAACCTCAACTAGGATCATATACTAATGTATTAATCTAACTTTTTTTTTAACTCTACAGAATAAAAAGCTTAAGGTTTTTGGTCCTCTTAGAATACATTGAAGTTTGGGGAATATGTGATCTTAGACTCTAAGGTTAAGTCAAAACTGTGTTTTCCTCTAATAATCTCAGAAATTTCAAATAAGGTGACCTCCAACCATAAAAGTAAAGAATTCTTGAAGACAGTTCTGAAGGATTTATCTTGACAGCCAGTAATTCTTTCTAAAAAGGAATTTTGCAGCAATTTTTATGTAGCTAAATAAGTTGTTAGGAAATGCAAATTAAAGTCTTTTGGGGTGAGGAGAGAGAAAATAGCTGACTTCAAATACTAAAATAAATAAGGCTTATAAAAAAGTATTGGTAGTTCCTGAGGGCTAAGACCAATGTGAAGAAGTGTTGTCTTGATCAGAATAGCTAAGTCTTTTACAATTGATCATCCTTTCAATGTTGCTGTTACTGTGTAACAGTAATACTTTGCTTCAGTTCATTTAGGTCTTCCCAAGTTTTTCTGAAACCACCCTGCTTGTTATTTCTTATAGCACGACAGTATGATACCAAAATCATATGCCACTTGTTTAGTTATTCCCCAGTTGATGGGCATGTCTCTAGCCATGGAAGCAAGCAAAGCTAATTGGACCACTCAAGGAGCCAGATGTGACATCAGTTTCATCAATATTATAGTCTTCCTAGACGAACTACTCAGTTACACATATTTATGCGATATGTTCCTTTAGACATGTCTACACTTATCTCATGATTTATTAGGGATCTTTTAGGGGCATAAATCATTATTTTAAAGTTTGGCTTCTATAGTACAAACATTTACAGATTTCTTCCCTCCCCCAACTGTGTGGGAAATATCTTGTAACAAAGTAAATCAATTATGCAAAATGAGCAAAACAGTGATCTCAAATGAAAGTGCATGTAGCATTCCACATCTTTAGAACCATCCCAACCTATTTTTTTTTATTCTAAATTAAAAGACTTTTGTGTTCTCTCTCTCCCATCTCTCCACGTCATTGGACAAAAAAAAAAATGGAAACAAATCCCCTCATTGACTGTAACAATTATATATGTCTTATTCTGTACCATAAGCTGTCACCTCTCTTTTAGGAGGTGAACAGTATGTTTTGTCTCTGATCCTTCGGAATCATGGTTGGTCATCAATAAAAATCATAGTTCTTACATCTTTCAAAGTGGTTTGTCTTTATAGCTTTGTTGCTATTATGTAAACCATTCTGCAGGTTCTGCTTATTTTACTCTTCATCAGTTTTTTTAAGTCTTCAAAATTGTTTGTTTTTGTAATGTTGATGTTATGGTATAAATTGTTCTTCCGATTCAGCTCGTCTCTCGACATCAGTTCGTGTTAAGTCTTTGTATGTGTGTTTGAAATCATTGTTCCACTTCTTACAGTATAATAGCACTCCATCATATTCATGTATTAAAACTTATTTAGCCATCCCTTAATTGATGGGCATCCGTTTAGTTTCCTGTTTTTTACTACACACACACACATACACAAACACACACACATACTCACACACCTGAAGCTGCTATAAATATTGTTGTACATATAAAACCTTTACCTATTTCTTTTTATACTTTTGGGTATAAGCCTAGCAGTATTTTTTCCCACTTAATAGTATTTTTTTCCAATTACATGCAAAGATAGTTTTCAACTTTCACTTTCACAAGATTTTGAGTTCCAAATTTTTTTCTCCCTCCTCTCTCTCCTCCCAAATGTGGCTTGAAATTTGATATAGGCTACACATGTCCAGTCATATTAAACATAATTCCACATTAGTCACGTTGTAAGCCTAGCTGTATTAACCCAACTAGATCAAAGGGAATGCACTGTTTAGTAACTTTGTGTGTATGATTCCAAATTGCTTTTTGATCATAGTTCAGAGAAACCAAAAGTCCAGTCAGTAAAAGAGAGCCTTGATTTCAAATGGCCTATGGACATTTCACCTTTCATGTCATTGTCCTAGTCTTTCCCCCAAGTCTAAAATGCACTCCCAATTCACCTCCATCTCTCAGAATCCTTAACTGCCTTGGAAGCTTAGGTGCCTAACACCTCCTAGATGAGGCTTCTCCTGATTTCCCTCAGCTGCTAATTCCTACTCCCTTAAATTATCTTATATTTTTATATATTTTATATATTACTATATGTGTACATGCTGTTTCCCACCAACACAATGAAAGATCAATAAATGATTCATGGTTGACCGATTGGCTATTTGGATGACCAAGAATAACACATATAAGTAGAGATAAATGAAATCCATAGAAAATTCCTAAACTTCGTGGTATTTGTGTAGATCTCTTACCAAAACCTGACTTTCCTCCCCTTATTCTGAATTGCCATCTTCAAAAATGCATATTCAGGAAACTGTAAAGAACGGTAAAAGAGCATTTCTGTGGAAAGCGTAATGATAAAATGGAAGGAATGGTAAGCCTACTACATATATAAATCTCTAGGAGCTAAATATTGCCTCTCTATCCTATTTGGTAATAAATTGACTCATTGAGGCATGGAGATTATATGAATATAATAATGCTTTTCTGTATGCGATGTTTTTCTTACCCATTTGAAAATCTTAATTACTTTTATAAATTTTACTAAGCAATGAGCTTCTTTAATACACTAACCAAGGAGAAAAATGGTTATGGATACTAAACAAGTATGAGATTTTATTCCTTTTTTAAATCATGGATCATTTTACACTCATTTGACCTTTTACTCACATAAAGGACCTCATTATTTCTTTTTTTTATTTTATTTTTATAGTTTCCTTTCCAATGGAAGGAAACAGAAAGGTACTGGCATCTGACAAGCTTAATGAGTGATTAATAAGAGAGAGGGTAGATAAACTCCGTGGGAGGTAGGATTGAGTGTGCTGAAAGATCAAGTTCTAGGAATCAAAAGGGCAAAAGGTAATAGTCCAAAGATCATACCAGCTTCAGGAGCTTTAGCCAAGAAACTGCATTCAAGAGAATGGGTCATACCAAGACTGGTGTGGCTGAGAGCAGGAACAGAAGAACAAGTAGGAGGCAGAAGTGTTTTGAATAATGGTGATTTCCTCCATTACAAAGAATCATCAAATGTCTAGCTAAAGTCAAAGGAACTGTCTGAAAAGTGTTTTGTTTGGAATTTTAAATATATTGCCCTCACAAGGTTTTTTCTGTTATGAAGTATTCAGCTTCTGATTATTTGTAAAACATCACAATGGGGTTTCACTTTAGTCATAATTGCCAACCAAGTTGTCTCCTCAGTTCACAAGCCCTATAAAAGGACAGACCCCATCTTCCTACCAACTTCCTTCCATATCCCCCAAAGGGGTCAAACTCTCAATGTCTTAAACCTTTCTGGGAGTGGTAGTTACTTTGCAGAATGTTTTCTGGTGACTTGGAATTTCTCCTATGCCACTGGATTTTCCTGTGTTCTCTGATATTCAGGAGTATCATTTTCTCTTCTTCCCACCTCCAGCCCTGGTAGTGCATATATTCACGTTATACCTTCTGCACAGAGACACATTCCTATGGAACAAGGAAGAGTGGACCTGAAGCTAAGTCTATGTCTGAATTTTTCCAGCCATTTATCCTCTTTTTGTTGTTCAGTCATTTCAGTCATGTCTGACTCTTCATGATCCCATTTGGGGTTTTCTTGGCAGACATATCAGAGTGGTTTTCCATTTCATTCTGCAGCTCATTTTACAGATAAGGAAACTGAGGTAAACAGAGGGAAGTGACTTGCCCAGGGTCACACAGCTAGTAAGTGTCTGAAGCCAGATTTGAATGCGGGAAGATGAGACTCCCTGCACTCTATCCCTTGCACCACCCAGCTGCTCCCATTTAGCTTCTAGTAGAAGACAAAATACCCATGTGGTGTTGGTCAATGTCCTAGCCATAGCAGCCTATTCATAAGCAGTCTTCTAAATTCCCTGCTCCATTCCCAGAAAAAAAAAAGTAAATTCAATGACTCTCCTATCACCTCTTTTTAAAATAAATATCATGTTTTCTAATGGACAAGTTCAATTTCCCCCAATTCAATGACTTTCTAGTTTTCTGAAATGATGTGATTTAATTCTCTCAAAAGTTTTTTGTTATGAGTCTCAAAGTGGACAGACACAGTAAGCTTTCTAAATCATCCGACCCCTACTTCACTTCTGTAACTAGAGAACTCCCATCATGTGTTACCTTCTCCATCCTTGTTATTTAACCACTGTCTAGGAGCAAACCACCCCAACCCTATCTCCTGTTCTCTCGTCTTATCTTTCTCAATCCTACTTCTTCCATCTCCCATTCCAACTCTGTGCACCCCTTCCAATGTGTCCCCTGGGATTTCCATTCCATAATAAATGTCTTTCATTGTGGACTTCTTCCTTTCATATACCTTCCATTGATTTGCTCTTACTGAGACCTTAGCTTCTTCCTCCTCTCCAGTACGGGCTATATCTTCTCCCACACCCACTATCAGCCTTTGAGAGTGATTCAAAATACTTCTTGCTTTCTATTGTCACTTCTAGACTGTCTCCTTGCCATCATCACTCAGGAAGCTCACCTCCTTTGTCATTCAGGCAGTCAGTAAGCATATACTAAGTGTCTACTATGTGCCCGACATAGTATTGAGTACTGGAGATAGAAAGGCAAAAAACAAAACGAGAAAGAGTTCCTACTCTCAGGGAACTCACTGTCTAATAAGGAGGACAATATGCAAATGGCTATGTAAAAACAAGAGTTATACAGGTTATGTTGATGGATAAACTTGAGGGAAAGGCATTAAGATGAAGGAAGACTGGGAAAAGCTTCTTACAGAAGTTGGTAATTTAGCTGTAGCTTAAAGGAAGCCACGAGATGAGGAGTGAGAGAGTTCCAGGCATGGGGGACAGCCAATGAAAATGGATGCAGGTAGGGAATGGAGTGTTTTGTGCATGGAACAAGGGAAGACTGGTGTCACTAAATCACAGATTACATGAATGGGAATAAGGTGCAAGATGACTGCAAAGATATGAAGGGGCCAGGTAATGAAGGATTAAAAAACCAAACAGGTTTGAAATTGTATTGGATCGTTGCCTTGATCAGAATAGCTAAGATCATGCTTTCAATGTTGCTGTTACTGTGTAAAAGTAATACTTTGCTTCAGTTCCCCATTCTACCTGCCACCAAAGCTATTCCATTCCTTATCTTATCTCCTCAAACCTCTCACACCACAACCCTCTCAGTAGATTACCTCACCTTTTTATTGAGAAAATCCAGTCCATTTACCATCAGCTCCCTCTTTTGTCCCTTTCTCTTCATCTCAAAACCACTTGATTTTATCCCATATTCTGTCCTCCTTTCTTCTAGTCTCTGATAATGAAGCACTTCTTCTTTCCAAGGCCAACCCTCTAAGGGCCAACATGTGCCCTTGATCTTTTTGTCTCCTATCTCCTCTGGCAGATTGCCCAATACTCCCTTGGGTTCTAATCTTCTCTAGTGATCACGAGACTCAGTTGTGACTGGCAGTCTGGACAAAGAAATCTACCTCTACCCAGACCTCTCTGGTTGGTTTTCTCCTTCTTGAGCTGAGTTATCTTAAACTCCAATGAGGGATACAAGGAAATGGGCTTAATGCTTTTTTGGGGGGGCTGGAATCCACCTCGATTAGATTTTGTTTACACTCTAAACAGAAATAAGGTCTGCTAGTTGAGAGAAGCCCTGCCTGAGATCATGGAGCACGTTCTTGGAGGATTGGGCAATGTCATCTATCAGCCTTGTCCTTCATATACTGGGTGACTGTTACAAAGGGGCTGGTCCCTGAATGAGGAAATAAAGAGAAAAAGCCTTAATCCTAATTTAATACTGGTTATTAATATAATAGAAAAAAATTACTTCTCTCACTTTGCAAACTGGCTTCTGATGTCATCTCTCAAAGTCCTCTTTTCCAAAGTTACCAACAATCTAAACAATTGCCAAAATTTACCAAAACCAAACAATTGCCAAATATGATGATCTTTTCTCTGTTTTCATCATTCTTGCTGTCCTTGTTACACTTGATACTCTTCTGGACAATCCCTTCTCTCTAGGTCTTCAGGACTGATTCTGATACCTATCTAAGTTTTCCTTTTCACCCTCATATGATGGCTAATCATCTATATCACACCCCCAAATTGTGGATATCCCCCAAATCTCTGATCAGGAGCTTCTTTCTTTATATTCAGTCTCTTGGTCACCTCATCGGCTCCCATCAATTTAATCACATCTTTATGCAGATGAGTCACAGAACTATGTAAAGCCAAAGTTTTTCTCCTGAGCTCTAGTCCCATATCCAAGGCTGTAGAGTGGGCATTTTGAGCTAGATCCCACCATCTTCTAGTGCCCTCCCTCCCTGAGCACCTTGCATTTATTCTGCATACATTTATATATGTACATGGCTCCCCTCCAATAGAATGTGAATACCTCAAGGGCAGACAGGGCCTGTTTTTTTCTTTTTTGTCTTTACATCCCCAGGGTTTAGCATGGTGCCTGGCACTAGTAGGTACTTAATAAATGCTTATTGATAGACTGATTATTCTATGGAAATTACTGATTTTTTAAACTATTTTGCAACAAAGTAGTCTTTATTTTTTCTTTTTCTGAGACTTTGAAGAAATAAAATTTACCTGTAAATCATATTTAAGGGGATGGCTATTTAATAAGTCATGAATTCGTGAGTCTCTCTGCCCCCACATTAGCCTGTGGCTCCAAACTGCGCTAGAACGGATACCTAGAGAGAATTGTTTGGCCAGAGAACTTAATGTAAATCATCTCTAGTCAGTAATAACAATAATCATTTCGGTAGGTGGTTACAAAACACTTCCCTCCTCCCCAAACAACTCAGAGAAGTAGGTAATCAACTATTATTATCCCCATTTTACAAAGGATTGAAGTTACTAGCCCAGAATAACCTCTAATCTTCTGACTCTACACTTAGGGCTTTTTTTGAATATCGTGATGGGATCCATATCTCTCAAGGTTACAGCTCCTCCTCCCACAACAGGGATTTATTTACCCTCAAGGCAAAAACTGTCTTCTGGACCTCACCTGTCCTTCTCCATTGGCAAAGCTTCCTGGCCAACCAAGGGCATAAAAAATCCCACCCAAATGGAGTTAGAGGCTATCAGATTTGGTGGCCATCTGAAGGCCACAAGAGTCACCAATTTGTCCTACCAACCAGAAGCATTTCCATATGGAGATGAGAGCTGTGTAGATGCCAAGTACCACTGTATTCTTGTCGCAAATTTTTAGGGCAAGGTAAGCCTCCTTTTGTTAATTGTTCTATGCCTTACAAGCATCTTATTTCATCCCCAAATCAAACCTGAACAGGATACTGGCATCAGGCGTATCCCTAACAAATATACCATTTTGAATGACTCTCAAGAAATTCTTCCAGCTGTCATATTCTAGGAGGAACACTGATAAAGCATCTCCAAAATAAGGTAACTAGGTGAGAAATTCATCATAAAATTTTTAGAACTCTGCCAGTCTAATCCCATCATTTTATAGATAAGAAAATTAAGAGCCAGAGAAATAACTTGACTTGATATCCCACAACTAGTTAGTAGTGGCAGAGCAGGGGCAAATCCTAATCCAATGCTATTTTCTCCCACAAAACCTCCTGCCCTTCAGTCTGCCCTAAGAGCTCTATGAAAATAAACATGGACCTATTTATTGACTAGTAATATACAAAACACTAGGAGAAGGAGGTAAGAAGCATGAGACAGCATCTCCCCTTATGAAATTTAAAATCTGCAACAAATTCAATTCAATAAACATTTATTAAGCCTTTATTATGTGCAATGTATTATGTTAGTATAATATCAGAAAGACAATAGGAAATCACTTTCTATCTTTTTAACTTCATCTCACATCTCTACTAACAAAATAGGTTCAAGAATAATATTTTCTGGTGAGTCAGGGTTACTTTCAACTGAATGATCCCCTAATGTGCCTATATCTCATAAAATCTTAGATGAGACAATGCAGTATAGTGGAAAGGACACCAGACAGAGTCAGGTTTAAATCTGAGTCCTAGTTCTAGTGTTCCCTCTATAAGATGTAGAGCTGCAGGAAATCATTTAGCCTCATTAAGTCCCA